GTTTGTAGTTAGTGATGGAAGTCATGGGATTCTTTGCTTAAGGTGGTAACTAATGACTTTATTCCCATGTGTATAGAATGATTAAAGTATCTTTTGTAGTTTTGTTGTAGAAGTTTTAGGACTCGTTATTTTTGGGCTTCTTAGCAAATGTAGGGATGTAGCATATTGTTTGGATATGAGCTGAGGTAACAAAGGATTATTTGAATTGGGCTAATAAGATTTGGTTTGAATTTGGGTGAGAAATGTTAAACAAATTGGTATTGTTGGCCGAGTCAAATCTAGTTATGCATGTTTATGTCGAGCTTTTAAATTTCATAATAAACGATCAAAATTAGTCATACAAAGCCTTAAAAGGCTTAGATCATATCACTTAAATTTTGATCAAAATAGGGATATTGATATTCGAAAACACATTGATTTTAAATCTAAATATATTAGTTAATAGTTAGTGTATCATTCCATTTTTCTAACACATTAACCTTTAATATTTACAATTATATACGGAGTATTTTATTGTATTATTGAGAATTATAAAAAAAAATATTATAGAATGAAATATACCTATACTAATCTAAAAACATTTTACATGACAAATCATAAACTTTTTAATACATTGAAGTAAATAAGTACCACCTATATAAATAGGTAGTATTATACTTCGTAAATGTCAAACTGGTAGGGCCTATTTGTTGTATAGTTACCGGCCTTTCTCATGAGCCCTAATCTCTTGTTAGGTTGTATATATACGCTTCTCATACTCTAAGACAAACTACGAAAAATCATTTCATGACAAATTGTTGTGATTAAGGGCATGTTTACTAAAATATTTTATGAGAAAAGGAAATTAAGAATTGAAGTGAATTGAACCGTCAAACAAAACTCCGTTATGAGTTTGCCTGGGTATTATCAATTATGGTACCCAAGGTTAGAAACCGAATTTCGTCACCATCTTTTTCTCTACTAAGATCGTTCTCGTCTGCCAAGTCTTCGAAATAAGAGCGAAACCAGAATCACACCATTTTCTCTACTAAGCTCGGTTCTCAACAATTTCTAGGTATGCAAAAATTTTCTCCCGCAAACTTTTCTTTTGCTTACCCTAAGGTTGTTGTGATTACCACGAAAAATGATTTTGATGATATTCTTCAAAACATAGCTGAAATGTATTCTAGGCTTCTAGCTAATCCTAGTTTAATTTTTATTTTTAACTTTGATTTTGTTTTAATTTTTAGCTGATTTGCAAACGATTTAACGAATATTTTCGAGTGATGGAAACCGCTGAAAATGCAGAAGAAGCTGTTTCAACTGTAAGTTCAAGAAATTCCAGTTTCAATTTGAATTATTTGATTGAATTAGATTTGCATTATTGTTATAATTCAAAATTTGGGGTTGAATTTTATGTATGTTTTTATATGTATATGTAAGTTGCTAGATTGTTTTTATGCTATTAATTTTGTAAGCAATTGTTTTAACAATCATCCAAAAATCTAAGCTTGTCTTTTCAAGAAGAAGGGATTATTAGATGCTAGCTAACTATTGAGCCTTTTGGTATACCTGGTGAACAACTAATATATGTTCATTCTTCAAATTTAGTGGTAATTTCAATATGTTAATTAGGGTAAAGATTCTACTGATGAATTTGATAGAAAAAGGGGAAATAATAGACAATCAATTTCTGGGGCTTCAAGTGTTTCATCTGGGGTTAGGTTAGAGAACATTAGTAAGAGTTATAAGGGTGTTACAGTGCTGAAAAATGTGAGTTAGGAAGTGAAGAAAGGGGAGAAAGTAGGGTTAGTTGGGGAAACTGGGCCAGGGAAAACTACCCAATTGAGAATTATTGCTGCGTTGGAAGAACCTGATGATGGGAATGTGATTAAGGCCAAGAATAATATGAAAATTCAATTTTGAGTCAAGAAGGTTTTGATGAGTAAGACAGTGAAGGAGGAGTTTCTGATCGCGTTTAAGGAGGAGATGGAGGTTGCAGAGAAGATTGAGAAGGTGCAAAAGGCAATTGAGGGGTCTGTTGATAATTTGGAATTGATGGGAAGATTGTTGGATGAGCTTGATTTATTGCAGAATAGAGCACAGGCTGTAGACTTGGATCAGGTGAATTCTAAGATCAATAAGTTGATGCCTGACCTTGTTGGGCCGCGGATTCGGATAGGTTAGTGGCTTCTTTTAGTGGTGGATGGCAGATGAGAATGTCACTTGGGATTTGGGAAGATATTGCTTCAGGTTTATTGAATACCATATGTAAAGTCTGATGTTGTTGAGATTATGTTGAGAAATTGCAATCTTACGGTTGTTGGATGCATAGTTTATGAACACTTAAAGTTTCTGTTTATTTTATTACGGAGTATAATGTTTCTTTGCTTAATGATAGATACAATATTATTAAACAAGCTCGTAAAATGGTATTAGAAAGAAGTTTTCTTCTGTCGTTAGTGGGAATAAGTATGTCATACGTATAGGTTCTGGAATTAATGTATGAAATTTATAAACATCGGCCCAAATTTATGACTAAATTTGCAGGATCTTAAAAGGCTATGTTAACATATGTTTATAGTTTCGATACTTTTCGAGTATTATAGCTCTAATAAATTTCACGAAAAGTAACATGAAGATAGAGGTTCATCGCCTTTGTTTCGTGTTGACAAAGTCCCAAGATATTTCTAAAGATATCCTTATGAGAAATAGATTTAAAGGAGGTATAACTGACTCGTTTATGTGGTTAAATTTAAGTTAAGATTCGCAAAATGAAATAATGCAGGGTCCTTTTCATCCTTATGTTTTTGGGAGGGTGTGAAGAGGAGGTACGGTTGCGTAGTTCGATGTATTGCATCTTCTATTCATAATGTTACATCTATTTCTTGTCTGTTTAGGGAACTCCCAAGTTAGCTGGGACTGTTAATTGGGGAACAGCAACTGTCATCGGGATATTTGCTGGTATGTTATACGGTGGCAGCAAGGAAGCAGCTGCTTCTGCTGTAAGTTTATTAATCTCAATCAAATATCAAATTTCTGTTTCTATTATATCCTTCTCTTCTAATTGAGGACCTTTTGACAATTTTCCAGAGTAAGGATGCTGAAGTGACACTGAAGCTTGGAAGCACCCCAGATAAGCGAGAGCAGTATCGGTTGATGAGAGATGCAATGGAGAAGAGGTTTTATAGAGTTACTCGTGGATCCCTGGTTGGGGGAGTGCGCCTTGGGATATTCACTGCTGCATTTTACGGTCTACAGAATCTGTTAGCTGAGGAACGAGGAGTCCATGATGTGTATAACATTGTTGCAGCTGGTTCAGCCACTGCTGCAACATTTGGTCTGATAAGTAAGAGTTTATTTCCTTAATTTTTGCTGAAGTATGTTGCAGTAGTGGTCTAGATTTGGCATGAAAGTATTGTACATTTGCCCAGTCTGTATTGTGGAGAGTTTTGTGTTCTGATGTGCTTGTTATTAGTTTCTGTTTGTGGATTGCTTCAGGCAATAGTCATTGGATCCTTGCTTTGTCTTCTATTTGTCAATTAACATCTTAAATAAAAATTCAGTGCCAGGATCTCTCCTTTGGCGTGCCAGGAATGTCATGATGGGTTCTGTTCTTGGGGCAGCCTTTTGTTTTCCTCTTGGTAAATCTACCCCTTATTATCTTTTTATCTATTGTTTCCATCGCCTTAAGCATATCTCAGATACTGTATTGTATGATTGTATCGTCATTGACAAGCAAACTTTGGCATAGGTTGGGCCCATTTGAAGCTAGTAGAAAAGGCAAATGAGAAGAAGTTCACCCCTCATCCTCAACTAAACGAGAAGGGAGAAGTCAAGACTGGTCTTGAAGTTGCCATAGAAAGACTTGAAGGGAGTATAAAAAAGTAGATCTATGTTTTTTCAATGCAAATACTCCGTAGCCAGCTATCATCTCAGCTCATAAATATGCAAAATGAGGAAGTTTACGTCATGCTACTATGTCGGGGAACACTGGAAAGATACATCCAAGTGAGATTTTACCAATTTTGATGTATTTGTGGATTCTTGGGACTGTGACTCGCTAGTATTATTCACGGGTACCAAAGAAGTGTACTGTATTTTACTCCATAGTTTGATACATAGCCTTTCCCATTCAGTTTCATTGTAATTGGCTTGAGGCAAATTTGCTCAATAGTGAGTTTTTGCGGGCTTTTGTCTGAGGAAGCAAGATTGGGTTGATTTAGGTAAACCTATGTTACTACAAATGTTTCCCCTCTGTTACAACCTATACTGATGAACTAATGCTAAGAATAAAGCTGCCTTTACCTTTGGCAGATGGATATGTAATTGATCTTTATATTGAGTTTTTGTTACAGAGTATCTTGTTTTGTAGTGGTGTACTAACGGTTCGGGTACCCGATAACCAAAATCACTAAAAGTGATACTCATAACCGGATCGGTTATCGGGTACCCAATAAGATATCCAATAATGATAATTAAACTTAATTATGTACGTAGTTATTATGATATAATTTACAACTAATTAAAAACAATACCATATGATCTTGACCAAATTATTAATAATAGTACGAATCATTGATATTATAAAGTGATTATGAAGTAAAGTAAAAGTTTAGATTTATATTAATAGATTTAAATAGGGAAAAAAAGCAAAAAAAAAATGCTTATCGGATCGGATCGGGTAACCGTTAATTTTAAAATGATATCCATAACCATACCCGATAACAAATTATCGGAACGGGTACCCGAACCGTTATGGTTATCGGATCGGGTACCCAAATTTTCGGAACGATTACGGTCTTACGGATTGGTTTTTCGGTTAGTTTTGCTCAGCCCTATACTTAGGTATGTTGATTTATTTTCCAAGCCTAATTTTGGTATGTTGATTTGTTACGAAGTATATTGAGTTGAGTGGTTCCTCTGCAGTATGCAAATGTCGCTTTGCAAAAAAAAAAAGTAATAACAAAAATTAATGAAATTTGATTAAATAGAGTGAAAAGAATCTGTCATCTTATACATGTAGTTAAATAAGTAAGATATGACCTAATATTTTTTTTAACAAAATTGTGCCTGAAGCTCCCAACAAAATCATCCGAATTTCTTCTGTGGTGTATACTCTCTTCTTCTCTAGTACAGGTGAGGAACTAGTGCTTTGTGTGGCTTCAGCTAGTTGATAAATAATGCCTCCAGTGATCAAAGAACAGGGTGGCCATGTCTATGACAGCTTTAATTCGCATCCTATGAATTGTTAGAAATGCCCAAACCTTAAGGGGCAGTCTTAATTTGAAGGGATACTACTGCTCCTTGCCTGCACCAATCAAGGAGATAATTGGTGAAAAACTATAAATACTACGTATATACTCAGTTGAACAAAAAGCTCCATACTACAAATTTAGGTGGTTACCTTCAGTCAGAGCTTGGGACGGTTTCTCAGGTGCTCGGTCTGCTACTTTTTTCGCATTTACAGCTAAAATGGAACAAAAATAAAAGAGAATATAGCATTAGCATGAAAGTGAAGTGCAGAAAAGATAGCTGCATAATTCACATGTATCAATTTTACCTTTGTATTTTCTCTTCTTCTTGGCTCTCCTCTTCTTTCTGTCCTCCTTTGTTAATTCATTTGCCTCTTTGATATCTTTCTTACCAGAAAACACTTCCTCAGGAGCAAGCATAGCAGCATCTGACACAGCTACTGGAGCAATCTGTTCAAGAAAAGCCACAATAAATCAGACAACTGTGAGTGCACATAGATAAAAACAAGACAACTTGTATCAATCAAATACAAAATCTTAATAAATGCAGCAAGAGACAGGCATTTACCTCTTCCATGGCTAAAGCTGGAACATTGGTCTGAATAGACATATCCTCAATAACCTGTCCAGCCAATATAGTAATTAAGCACAGGTAACTTGGTCCTCATCACACAAACATAAGAGTTTATCAATATGCCAAAAGTGGGATAGAAGCTAATAAAACATACCGGCTTGGGAGCAAAATGGAAGTGGGAAAGTGCATCCAGCTTCAGGCACAATCTTTTGAACAGATTGCTTGCCTGGCAAAAAGTGAAATACAGTTACACCAACTATGAAACACACCGAGGGTTGAGCACACAAATAGAGAGAAAAGCACAAACCTAACATATACAGGCAATAACAACTAAGAATACTAAGTTATGTTTTAAGTCTAACTTCTATTCTTTATTTTTTTATTCCCATAAATGAAGCCCCTCCCTCTATTTGCAAGGAAAAGTGGCATCCAAATACTAAAGAAATGAACCTAATTAGTGAATAGAAGCCTAAAGCCCCAGCGCTCCCATACAAATATTTGATTCTAAGTCAGCTTATTTTAGATCTATATATTAATGCTAATCTATCAAGCCCGTAATCAAATAAATCAGAGAGATATCGGCTATAGCGCTCCACATTGTTGCTTCTAGGTAGGACATGAACCAGTGATTAAAGCTTGACCTCGCACAGCTACTACCAACCCAACCCCACCCAAAAATATTTTTGCTTGTTAGGCAAAAAGGAAAAAACTAGTTACACAAGAAATGTCCTGTAAAATGAAGGTTAGAAAGAAATCATTCTGCCTCATCCCACAACCTTAAGCAACGAAAAGAATAGATGAAAACAATTGTACAGCCAAAATTAAACAGGTAATTTATTGTACATACCTCCTTCTTCAATTCATCATTAAATGACAAGGGTGCAGCAACAAATCCAGTTTGCTGAGCATATTCTTCCTGCAAAAATTTCATTTAAGTAAAAACCAAGGAATCTTTTATGATGGTTCCAGATGTATTATCAGCTCATAATCTCATACTAGGTGACACAAATAATTTCTACAATCCATTTGTCAAATACTCAAAGAACATACTATAAGGCTGGAAAAATTTGCATTTCAGAAAATGATCTAACCTCATAGATTTCAGCAAGGCCTTTCTTGCTTTTATTATCATCCTGCACAGAAAGTAAAATTAGGGTATGCATGTCATTTATGTATAAAAAGTAAGAAGCATGAAGGTAATATAGGATATTGAAAGGGAGAACAAACCAGCTCTTTTGTTTCCTTGGGTGCTGCAGTTGGCACTTTAGGAGCCCTTTGCACATCATCAAAATGTCCCTGAAAACATATAATTTCTACATTTAAATCAGCTCTGTTGAGTATGGCATGCATGCCCACTGTATAATATGAGAATTGTAGTAGTGACTAACAAGGAAATGAAGAAGCAAAATGTGGGATGTCGAGCACACTATCAGACTTCATACAAGCAAATCAAGTCAAAAATATTTCAGACAAGAAGATCTAGGAAATATATTAAGGGCTTAAAATTTTAATTTGCAGGGTGACTGATGTCTGCAATCCAATATGATACACTTAGATAAATGAGTGTTTGGGGCCAAATAATAGGAAAGTTTGGGTAGGATTTTTTACACGTAGGTGTTTGAGGATAATATTAGTATTAGTGGGGATTTTATAGGGTAGTCAATATTTAATGTACAATGTGGATAACAAGAATTCTCAATTTATGCTACTGAAACTACAATACTGTTGTTGGACTTGGATACTGGTCATAGTCTCATATCCAGCCATTTTTAATTTTGGAAAACTTAGAATTTTGTTGGTTCTAAATTGCTAATTACATGTAAGTGATGTAACCATGGGAGAGTGACAAGTATCTGCTAGGAGCTTCATCTTCATGTAAAATGAAGAAGCCAATTATCAAAGATTTTTACGGTAGCTAGAAAATTCCTGGTCCAGTGTCCTCTTAAGATATAGATCATTCTTCATTATTTTTATGATTTTTTAGTCAAGTAAGATTAAAAAAAAAAGATTTCCAAAACTCTTATAAACACTCTAAAGGTATACGGATATCTCTGCAGAAGTATAAACAAACAAACCTTGGTTTTCTGGGCATCTGAAATGTCAAATCAGTACAATAAACATTGATAAGGTAATCTACCATAGAATACTAAACATAAAGATTTTTAAAACAAAAACATATATGAACCAAAAGACAACAACTTATACCTCAAGTATTCTTTTCTTTATAATATCTTCAAGAGATGCTGTCACCTCTTCTGTTATAACAGGAGGAGGCCTTATGTTGTGCTCAAAATCCAGGTCCACTTCCAATGCACTATCTACTGGCCTCTTGGATGCAGATATCTACTCAGAGTAACCAAAGGGATGAGAATTTAGTATAAACTAATCATTGGAATAGTGGCAGGCTCTTAAACAAGACACCTTGGCAAAACTTATATTTAGAATCCAAAAAACTTCACCTCTCCCTGCATGGTCCAATCTTTTGGAGCCAAATTTTCTGCTTCCATCTGCTTTATTTTGGCTTGTATCTTTTCACGCTCCTTCTCATAAGTAGACAAATTTCCCTTGTTCTATAAATTGACAGCAACCCAAGCTCAATGTTAAATGATAAAGTCAGAGCATGTTGTGTTACCCAGACAAAACAGAGCATGTGGCGTTGCACAGAAAACAGAACATTTTTACTACCTGCCCGTCATCATCATCTTCCATCTCTGAATCATCAGCATCACCGACATCATTATCTTCCATTTCTAGATCATCAGAAGCATCAGCATTTTCTTCTTCCATTTCTGAGTCATCTGACTTGTCAACTTGCTTCTGTTTTTTAACTGGCCTTTTCTTGTCAGGAACATAGAAATCTTCATACCTAAAACTCATAAAATGAAGAGTGAGTGCATAGCCAAAATAGCACAAACAAGAAGGTTTTGACAGGTGCAGCCACCATAATAATGTAAATTATATAGCATTGACTTAAACAGTGAAGTACATAAGTAAAATAATGTTTTCTGCCAAACAAAGACACATGCCCAAGGAAGTTGAACAAAAGAGAACATGGAAAACAAACAAGATTTGTTGGACTATGTAAATACATTTATACGTCTTTATTGTTTCTTTTAATTATTCTGATATTACCTATGCCAAAAATAAGTACAACTATACATATACACTAATCAACAACCATTCATCAAACAGAATCACTTTAAACAACTGAATGCATATCTAACATTGTTGGCTATACATGAACTGAAAAAGATATCCAGACCATGCTTGGGAGGTGCCTACACCAGTTGTTAATGTCATTGCAATAAATAGATTCCAATGCTTTCATCATACTCAAGCACACTGGTCTTTGTAACCAGCAGGTAGATTCTCAAATATTCACATATCAGCAACGGTATACTTCCTCCGTTCTTTTTTTATTTCACCATAAGGGATTTCACGCTTGCCAATGCATTACTTTAGCTATCAATATCTTCAATTATACATTTGAAAAGTAGAGTTCGATACGAATCTAACTAGATCCCACATGACTATATTTTCCCTAATGTATAAATCACAAATGATGGTCAAAGAAGATTAATTGAATAGTGTAAAAGTCCTAATGGTGCAATAAAATAAAAACGGAGGAAGTATATTAAATATACATATTTAAACCAGAATAAGCTTTACAAACACCACATAAAGCAAGATCAGTAAGCACCTGATGTTATCTTCGGACCCATCTTCAGAACCTCCATCTCCGCCATACATGAGAAGCTACACAATTTAACAGCAAGTCAGATAACCTCCGAAAAATGTGAACCAACTCAAACATACCTCCCCCTCAAATAAACAATCGTTCAGGGATTAAACATACACATAAAAGACAAAATTAATTTCACAAAATTAATAAAAACAAGCATGTAAAAGTATGCTCACCTCATCAGCATCATCTTCCTCACTCTCCTCACTTTCATCCTCTTCATCATCAGCATTTTTACCTCTCTTTGCCTTTTTCTTTTTCTTCTTACTCTCCTTCTTCTCTGACCCATATTCTTTCTCCTCCTCTCTCACAAGATACTTCTCCAAATCCTTAATCTTCAAAAACTCATCTTCAACCTCTGGAACCCCATCACCATCATCCTCAAAATCCTCCTCCTCTTTCTCCTCATCATCGTCATCATCTTCTTCTTCGTCATCTTCCTCATCCTCCTCACTTTCGTCATCTTCATCTTCATCACTTAACCCCTCAGATTCCTCACTCTCTCCCTCCAAACCCAAATCTACATTTTCCTTTACATCTTTCTCCAACACCCCATTGGCACCAGACACCCCAAAAAGCTTCAATATTTGCTCCGGTTTATCCTCATATCTCTTGATTTCTCGTTTAAGAGTATTAATCAGAGGCTGAGATTGAAGGTCAATCTGCTGCCAAATTTGCTCGGCGTCAAACCCATCCGAATGAAGCTGATCAAAAGGTGACTTGGGTGAGTATGGTTTGAGAGAAGCAAACAGATGTTGAGAGGCTAAGCGGGCAAAGCTAGAAAGGTCAGAATTTGGAGATAGAAATAACGGCGGGTCAGTCGACTTAAGCTTATCAATGGCTTCCGAAAATGGCTGGACCGGAGCGGCGGCCGCAACAGCTCCGTTTTCATTCTTCCGTCCTACCATTAAAGTACTATTATAAACAAAACCCTGCATTAAATTAGCAACCAAATTTGATTCAATCATCAAAGTATCCCAAAAATCAAATGAAATTCTTCTCGCTTAATTATACCAACGTAAAGTGCACATACCAAAATTCTAACAACAAAATCACTCGTTATAGTCCTTCAATAAGTTACATCAATTATAATTTATAGTTCAATAGTCCGAATTAGAATAAACCCTAGATTGACTATATTGACAAGAAGAACCCTAGATTGACTATACTGACAAGAAGAACCCTAAATTGATTATACTGATAAGTATATAAACTACAGTGCGAAAGTAAACCCTAGACTGCGAGATTGATATTCGACGATTAAAAAAGAAAGGAAGAGATAACTAACCACAAGAAGCTTCTTCAATGGAGGAGAGAAAGCTCAGAAGGCGCTTCAATGGAGGTTTTTGAGTACGCTTCAATGGAGGAGAGGGAGCTGCAGCGTATAAGTGAAAAGCTCCAAAGTGGGAAAATAAATGTAAACGAATAGAGATTAATTTCCACCGTCCGATCTAAATATTATCAACAGTCTTGATTTATTCTTGATTAAAACGTAGTCTTTTTTTTTCTTTTCTTTTCTTTTTTGCCAAATGTTTAAAGCGTTGAGAAAATTCAAGGTTTTGTTTGACGTTAATAATTTATTTTTACAATTAAAATGATTTTATTGATAATAATTTATTTTTACAAAATATAAAATATACTCCGTAAGTACTTTTTTTTTTAAGGAAATACAAGCATTATTTTTTGTCAAGATGAAAAGAATAAATCTTCACAAAAATAAATCACCAAAGTTTTGTGCACCAAAAAAAAAAAAAAATTCATCAAGCTTTTGTGCACCAAATGGAATTGGATTTTTGTATCCGGAAATTCCCATCGGTCGTCCATTACCCCCAGATTAGTCTTTTTCTTTTGTTTTTGCTCTTCCTACAAATGCTTTCATTGTGGGACACATAAGTCATTTTAGTAGGGTACGTTACTAAAGAAGTGTATGTTACTAAAGTAATGCCATATACCGACAATTGCGGAGTATGTGGATTCCCATTGGGAAAGGGGGGATAGAGGTTAAATTTGAGGATGAAGAAAGCTGATGAAGGTAAGATTGAAAAAACAAAGTCGGTCAATTGACAAAAGAGTCTAATATCATTTTAAACTTCCATCCACGATATTAGAAATTGTGCTTTTTGGAAGATGGAAAGATAGGAGAAGACTTAAATGTACTATTTCCACATATCGCAAACAACGAGAATATACTTTTGGACGATAATCTAAATTTGTTGTTAGATTATTTTCCAAAACGAATTTGTGTTAGTGCAATCTAATAAAGTGTAATTGATGCAATTTTCATTATGGTTACATAATGCCAGCATCAACTGGCAAAATATTTGTTTGTAAAGTGTATATTTGACTTTAAAAAAATTAGTATAAGACTCACTTCAGCTTAATTTATGTTCAGACAGTTCGGTTCGGTTCAGTTCAGTTTAGTAAATGTGAACAACCCCTTAGTTCATTTGAGATCCCATAAATTTTCATTATTATCAACATTTTTCAAAATCAATGCTCTTATAGGATCATTATTCTAATAAATACACATGTGCTTTAAATAGTTTTATTTATGCTCGAACAATTGCGTAACAGTGTAAGTAAACTAATACTCCATAATCCATTATAGATTACTCAACAATTGACAGCTTAACACCGAGTCAAAGCTCAAATTCTACCCCTTTTTTTTTGTCTAGGAGGACAAAAATGATCAACTTGGGGAAATTATTAATATAAAAACATTAATCATCAAATCATAATAAACATAGTTTTATAAGAACTAACCCAAAACCAAAACAATGCCAGTATAAGTCATAATTCCATACTTAACTTTAGTCCAATAAGAAGTATAAACGACCCAATTATCATCTTATTCATAAATACAATACGAGAATTTTATACCCTGTATTCTACTCAAGTGACTTATGTGTCCCACATTAAAAAGCATCGATGAAGAAAAAAAACAAAAGAAAGATTAATCTGGGGGTAACGGGCGGCCGATGGGAATTTCTGGATACGGAAATCCAATTCCCATTTGCCGATTCCCCAAATTAGAGAGAGAAAGAATGATAGATCAATAAACTATGATCGTTATTCTCTTTTACTCTATTCAACTACCGCTTCCTTGCGACTCATCTTCAGGTCAAATTTCTACCCTTTTCCTTTCTTCTTTTTTTTTTCTCCGTTGTTCTGTTCTGTATCACGTCCTATATTTTGAGAACTTATATCTGTGATTTGTGAAGTTCATGGTTTTACTTGAATCAGCAATGTGAAATTGTGTTCAAATCTAGTTTATGTTACCTTGAACTACAAAATCTGATGAATTAAAGATGGGATTTTGTTGTATTTGATGATTTGTTTGTTTAATTTTTCTGGGCAGTAGCATATTGTGTCAAATTATTTCTCTTTGTAGCTGAATAGGCATCTGGGTATGGTTGTTTCTTGTTGAGGACTGAAATTGGCGTGATGGGTTTTGATTTTAGGGTTAAGAAAGTTGCAGGAAACCTAACAAGTAGTTAATTCTTTTGCCATTAGAATGTTGCACACTTGCACTATGTTTGGGTACGAGTAATTGATTATAAAGAGTATTTCGAATTGCACTATCACCCCGTGTTATTAAGGGTCGAATTCGTTCCTCGTTGATTCTTAGTTTGTTTGATGATCAAGTGGGGAAATCACATGGAATAGGAAATGAAGGTACTAATTAATCTCGGTATACTGGGATTATCTGTTACTCGGTGAGCCTCATAATGCTTTTAAGTTAATAGGGAATGGAAATGGTACAATTCAAATTAAGTTTCATGAGGCGAAAGAATGCAGATTAGAGTCAAGTGAAGCATAGTGATGTACTTTGTTTTGTTTCGTACTGTGCAAAGGCATAGTTACGTTTTGTATCGTGATGAGTACTTGTTTTTGTAGAATTTTTTAAATTAAATGGTTTTTCTGATGTGTAATGGTTTTATCACCTGCAGGTTCTGCTGTGGTTCTGATCTAATTTGCCGGTGCTGTGCTGTGTTCCATTGCAGAGTTTGAATTGGCTTAGCTGTGATATGGACTCCGATGATCCTACTGCTGTTAGAAAACTTCAGAAGGCTGGCCGTGAAAAACAGCGCAGGTGTCGGTTGAATGAGCAGTTCATTGAGTTGGGAACTACACTTGGTAAATCTATTGAAACCTTTTGCTCTTATTTTTCATTTTGCCTCTGTATCTACATGCTAAACTTGTTATAAGCTCATGGCACTCATTACTAGACCATTTGAAAATTGAGTGCTGCATCTAGGGGTATCCCCATAAAGTTCTTGTTTTCAGAGGGGAGAAACCCATTAATCTTTTTCATATATATATATATATATATATATATATATATACATATAATAGGTTAGAATTATGTGATCTGAGAGGTGAAGATGTTTTCTGTTGTTCCATAGCATTCAACAGGGCACATTGCATCAATAGCTACTTCAGGTAAGACAGTTTCAAAATGTCAAATATAAATGAAAAGAACAAACTCTTTTGTCAGTTCTTTATCTTTGGGAGAGGAGCTGCTGGTCGAATATTGAAGCTAGTGATCCTCGGTTTAAAAAGCGTATCATTTCAGCTGCGTTAGGGAAATCCGTCAATGATGTTTAAGAACACTAGAAAGTCAAAATCATGCAATGGGAAAGAATGAGGGGAAAGGGACTCTTGATTTGATGATTAGATGCCATGAGACAATGACACGTTGATTGTTGGAGGAGGAGGAGGATGTGTTGATGGATTGAGGCTGAAGCCTTGAGTAACTGATAGCTTGATATGTATGTCTTGAGTCTAGAGCAGGGGTAATCTGTTTTCGATACAACAAATTTATTATTTTCTGTAATGGTTTATAGATTGAACCTGGATTGCTCAATATACAACTATACTTTGTGTTATATTTGGATTTCTGCTGATAAGTATAACTGGTGAGTATTTATGGTCCAATGCAGATGCTGAAAGGCCAAAGAATGACAAAGCAACCATACTAACTGATACTATTCAGCTGCTCAAAGATTTGACCGCTGAAGTCGACAAACTTAAAGCCGAACATACTGCTTTGAGTGATGAATCTCGTGAGGTGGTGCTTTTTGCTCTACTAATTATAGTTTCTTGATAACAAGCATCTCTCATGAAAGCTCTCTGATCTCGTGCTCTCCTACAGTTGACGCAAGAGAAGAATGATCTTAGGGAAGAGAAGACAGCTTTAAAATCAGACATCGATAGACTTAGTTCACAATGTCAGCAGAGAGCTGGTCCTGCTTATCCATGGGTAGCTATGGATTCGGTTCTTCAACATCCGCCTTCTTATCCATATCCCATGCCGATGCCTGTTCCTACAGGTGCAGTCCCAATGCATCTATCTATGCAGCCATATCCATTCTTTGGCAATCCAAACCCTGGAATGTATGCCAACCCATGTTCTACTTTTATTCCATACATGGCCCCAAATCTTCCAGCTGAGCAGCCATCAACCCAAGATGTTTCTCCTCCCATGCAGCCAGGTAGGACCCAAGTTTCAGCCGGACATGGCGTTGGAACTTCATCAGATAAGCATGATGGACAAGTCAACAAAAAGGATGACTCTAGTGATGTCCCAACAAACCTGGAGCTCAAAACGCCCGGATCGACTACAGATGAGGTCTCAACTTACACTTCCACACAATTTTCTCATGTCAATAATCGTTTTAAGTGTTTGTTAAGAGATTGCCAACCTAATATAGGACACTTCGGATCCTAAATCTGACTCATATGCAACTAATCAATTTAACTTTGTTTTTGTCGGTATTGCTGTGCAGAATACATCATCAGGGAACCGTAAGAAAAGGATTGCAGCAGAAGGGAGTTCTTTGAGTAGATGTTCATCTCATAGTGTACAGGATAGCTCATCAAGTAGCATAGTCGGTGGTGGCAAGGGTAATGATTGATGTGTTGGAGAAATTTTGACTATTGCCTAAAGCTCTGACCTCTATACTCCTATAGGAAGTTCCTCTCACACTGCAATTTGTCCTCCCAAATCTCAGTCTAACAGTTTAACACACTGGCGTATTAGTGCGCTAAGATCATTTGATTATTGATTTACTAATTCACTTCTGGAGATGACTCATCACTCATGCCATTACAGAATATTATTGTACCAATTACACGAGTAATGTACACAAAACTTTGGTATGTGAGATTAATTGTTAAGTTACTGAATTTGTACGCGTTGCAGCTCAGATCAGAAGCTCTTCCTGTTCTGTTACTCGACTTCTGTTATTCTGTACAATGTATGTTAGCTATAAATGGAAAGATGGTGGTGTCTTATATTAAAACACACTTTAACGTGAGAAGTAGTATCGTCTACCCAATTAACACAACTTTATTCGATTATGGACTTTTATCCAACTCGACTCGACTTAATCTAAACCTGGTCCAAATAACATAATTTGCTCATCCCAATTTGACCTTTTACACAACAATAGATAAATATACGTGTCGGGCAGATAAAAAATAATGCACCAAACATCATGCAAAAAAACTGAAAAAATCCAAGCAGAATCCTTCATTCTTTCTCCTTTTCACTCATCACAACGACGACGTATGACG